AATGGCATTTCAAACATCATTCATGATTCATGTTAGTGAACTTCCAATAGGGACAAACAGAACTCTGAAAGGTTTTGGATCTGTTGAATATAATAACATTGTGCTTCACAGCGTTGGTTCTTTCTTTCTTCCTTCCAAATCCATTTTAAATGATTTTGCAGATAGAACGCTTGAACCTAGAAAAAAACGATAGAATTCAATGAAATTAGTGGAAATGACCAAGAATATTCCGCTTTGACTCATGAATATATATGTTAAATGGATTTAGAATGCTCGAAAATCAAATGCCATAAATTACAACAAATAAACGTTGGCTAAGATGTTATCTAATATTCGCCGTTTTGGTTCTATGTTTGGTTATACATTATATTGTTCGAACGATCCAATCTAATGTTACTTAAATTGGCATATTAAAGACAAAATTGGGTCAACTGTGTATCAAAAAGGCCGTGATCAAATTATCTCGTTTTAACACCACATTTAGCACTCTGAATGAAGGCGTTTACCCGAGATATGAATTGCAAACAGATAAGAATTTCATAATTTTCAAGTTCACACGCGAAATGAGACGGTCAATTAACGGCATAACATCCCATGAATTTGACCCATGCTTTCTTGTTTACTTAATGGCTTCCGTTATTTTCGTTGAAGCTCACACAGAATCACAAAAGACGATTTATGCATATGTTTTACGCAAATTATGAATTCGCTAGTTGTTGCTCTCTATTTTTGTTTTCATTTGTTTTCGTACAACAAAAGATGAGAGAAATTATCATAGTAATTAGTAGAGTAACTTTTTTAACATGTGTCAAACGAGTTTTTCGTCATCAAATGTTATCTAGAATCGATTGATCACATTTTTTTTACAAGTGTTACTACGAACAACGTTCATTGAAATGTCAATCCAACGATAACATTTCCATAGATCAGTTTGTTTTGACTGTACGCATAACACACGTGCTGAAATTCGTAGCATAGAATATTTAACACAAAAAATTGCCCATGATTTCATATGTGACATTTCCATTTGAGAAAAGAACAGATATTAAAATCGATCGCTTATCTTCGTTCGTGACACATATTGAAGTTGAAAAGATATTTTAATGATGACGAGGATAGGTCCACACACTTCCTCGGTTGTATGCAATAAAGTGATGATTTCCTTGATATTTCTCAGACCAAACACAGCCGCGCGCTACTCGTTGTGTTGGAAATTTGTATTGGTATTTCAAAATATATCTTTTCAATTTAAATTGTGTCAATTTTCAATGCTCCATTTCCAAAGAACATATTCTTAACCATCTTTGAGAAAAAATAAAATGAATTCAACAACAGTTTTTCTTATTGTCATTAGGTCTTTAAAAAGTTAATTCCATTTCGATTCGATACATTAGAATTTTATTTAATCATTTTGTAAATTAATTTAACACTTATCCTCTGTTGTGAGTCGATTCAAATCAAAGGTTTTCGATATATTTTAGCGATTGATATTGCGATTGGATCTTGGTCTCTTCATTAAAAGGGATGGAAGAACGGAATTCGGTACGGTTACGATAACTACAGCACGAAATGAAATTAAAACATAAAATTTCAAAGGCTTTCCAACTATTGAAGGAGGCATTTTTGAGATTCTGCTTTTCCATCAAAGTTTAATTTCATATCGTTCGTTAGAAAACTACAGAAAATTATTGAGTCGATTTGACTTATGAACAGAGGCTATGTAAGTTTTTTGTCGCGCTCTGTGAGTGTTAATTTCGAATTTCATTGAATTTTTAATTAAAACAAACTTGAAATAGAAACATCATTACGAATACCAACTCACTGAAGAATATTGTATAAGGCAAGGCTTAAACGACGTTTGCGCAAATCGTTTCAATATATTATGCTATGAAGTCAGGAAGGAAACTGCTAAAAGCCTAATATTGTAAAAATTAATATTTGGGTGGTGAAAGTTCAAGTAAAACGCTTTAATTTCAAAGTTTATAAAATTAAAAGTTTTCGTCAGATTTTTATAATACTTGTAAAATAAATTTTCGTATTCTTTTGTTTGTTCCTCTAGAAATCGGTCAAATGGTTCTGAACATTCTTTTGTTTATTTTGTTCAGAATATCGATTATATTGGCTCATTGGGATGATGCCTATTTTCACGCGCCAAGTGATGGTTTTTGGCTGTACAAAGAATGGATGAAGTATGTGCCTGATCATCGGATGTTGAGTGAGTTGGCTTTGCCGGGTACCCATGATACGGCTGCATATACTACGTCAAACTGGATACACAAGTATTGAACTTTTATGATCAGCTCATGTTTGGCATCCGCGTTTTGACATTCGATACAGGCACATAGAAAATGTATTTGCGCTACACCATGGGAGTGTTTTTTTAAATTTAATGTTTGGTGACCTACTTTCTAATTTGACTAGATTTCTTACGGAAAATCCGTCCGAGACGGTACTTTTTCGAATGAAAGAAGAATGGCATAGCGAACAGAACACTAGAACGGCTCGAGAAACTTTGAAGCATTATTTAGCAAGATACCCAAAGAATTATTTGAAAACAAAAGAAAACGTAAGCCTTGGAAAAGCCCGTGGAAAGTTTATAATTTTGGTAGATAATCGAGCGTTCATTGATTATGGTATACATTATGACACTGCTATAATCCAAGACAACTATCACCTTGCTACGAACTGGGATCTTTATGATAAATGGACAAGTATTAAAGATCACTTCAGTAGGACATTGAAAGGACATGAGTTGGCTTTTTATATAAATTACCTGTCTGGTTCTGGTGGTTCGTTTCCATATTTTGTTGCCAGTGGACACTCTTCACCTGAGACAGGTGCCCCAAGACTACTCACTGGATTAACTTCACCCGGATGGGAACATATGTATCGTGATTTTCCTCGTCTGGCTTGTGTACTTGGGGCATGTTCGATTGCTTTTGAAGGAACAAACATATTAACAAGAGACTTTCTGGTCTCGCTTAAAATGTTCTCTGGAGTTTTATTCACAGAAAAGAGAAAAGTTGGCATTATAATGGCCGATTTTCCTGGCACTTCATTGATTCGACACATCATTTTGAATTTTGATGATTGTGAATGTTGAATCCATGTTTGAATTTCGTATCCAGAGACAATGTCACTCCATTTTATCCTCGTTTAGAGAATTTTCAGCTGATTTTTGTTTGTATATTATTAATAAATTATAAAAATGGAATAAAATTTTTTGATGCTGCACATAAGTCTAGACAAAAAAACCGTGCTTTTCATATCCTAATATTGTGAAGAAAACGCATTTCCATTTTCGTAAGGAAGAAAATTTTACATTCATCTAATTCAATTACATTTCAAATATGTACAACGAAATTGTCGATCAGTCTTTGGCAAAACACATAAAATATTCCTGTCCAATGCGAATCTAGAAATAAATGAGATGACATCAAAGCTATAACTCTTCTAGTAATGAAAATAAACTCCATTTGAAAAAGGTTACCGTTGGCCTAAATCAATAAAATGCCGGCAATGCATTGATGATCTCATCATAACTGGATTATCAACATTGTCTCTAACCCAATTTTAAACATATATTGAAAAATGCTAAACATAAATTTCAACCATAGAAAAAGACGGCATATGCTAAATACATTTGCCATTGGTGATCTTGTTCGTCTGAGGCGCGCAGAAAAAATTGCAAGCCGCTTGAAAGATATTATAATGTTGCGAACTAGATTAAGCATTAATTTATTCAAATCAAATTGAACCCCATTATTAACTTGGCAGCGGCTGATATTGATTAAAACATTTAATTTGTCTGAACTGCCCATTTGGCGATATAATTTCATTTGACGTGTTGATTGATTGGACCCACTTTGTATCAATGACATGTCAACTTTTTTGTTGCTGTTCCCATAGATTATTGATGTGTCTTTTCAGCATCCGCGTATTTTGGTCATTCTTTTCATTTATCGTCAAGTGTGTGGGATACTACGTCATCAGAATCTGTTCATAAATATCAAAATTCATCTTTAAAATACATGCGATGAAATATCTATTCAACGGCAATATGTGTCACGAACGAAGACAAGCAATCGATTTTAATATCTGTTCTTTTCTTAAATGGAATTGTCACATATGAAATCATGGGCAGTTTTTTGTGTTAAATATTCTATGCTACGAATCTCTGCACGAGATCTATGGAAATTTTATAGTTGGATTGACATTTCAATGAAAGTTGTTCGTAGTAACGTTTGTAAAAAAAATATGATCAATCGATTACAGATAACATTTGATGACGAAAAACTCGTTTGACACATGTTAAAAAAGTTACTCTACTAATTACTATGATAATTTCTCTCATCTTTTGTTGTACGAAAACAAATGAAAACAAAAATAGAGAGCAACAACTAGCGAATTCATAATTTGCGTAAAACATATGCATAAATCGTCTTTTGTGATTCTGTGTGAGCTTCAACGAAAATAACGGAAGCCATTAAGTAAACAAGAAAGCATGGGTCAAATTCATGGGATGTTATGCCGTTAATTGACCGTCTCATTTCGCGTGTGAACTTGAAAATTATGAAATTCTTATCTGTTTGCAATTCATATCTCGTGTAAACGCCTTCATTCAGAGCTAAATGTGGTGTTAAAACGAGATAATTTGATCACGGCCTTTTTGATACACAGTTGACTCAAACTTGTCTTTAATATGCCAATTTAAGTAACATTAGATTGGATCGTTCGAACAATATAATGTATAACCAAACATAGAACCCAAACGGCGAATATTAGATAAAATCTTGGCCAATGTTTATTTGTTGTAATTTATGGCATTTGATTTTCGAGCATTCTAAATCCATTTAACATATATATTCATGAGTCAATGCGGAATATTCTTGGTCATTTCCACTAATTTCATTGAATTCTATCGTTTTTTTTTCTATGTTCAAGTGTTCTATCTGCAAAATAATTTAAAATGGATTTGGAAGGAAGAAAGAAAAAATCGATTTGTTTTATATTTTTCTGAACTTTATTTTTTTTTATTTTTTGTTCATGCTTTCATTTTCAATACAAATCATGTTTCTTTCGATCTATATCGGTTGTGGGTTAGCTCGCAAACTGGGCGAAACAAATCCATTCAATCTAAATGAACTGTTTAGAGTTGGTTTGGGTTTCTGTAGTTGTAGCCATCGCTTTCTGAAAATTCGATATAAAAAAATATTAAAACTGAACATATGAATGAATCTGAAACAAAACAGTGTACAAAGGACTTACCACTGTAGGTAGCGGCAGCTGGAGCTGAAGTCAAAATTATACGAAAGCAAAAGCATTAGAAATGTTGATGTGATCGAAGTGGCTTCTTTGTGTTAATTTAAAGGGATGAGAAAGTATTAGGTACCTGATTGGAAGCTTGCACCTGAGTAGCTTGGGGCTGAGTAGCTTGGAGCTGAGTAGCTTGGAGCTGAGTAGCTTTGGGCTGAGTAGCTTTGGGCTGGGGCAGCGTATGAGGCGGACAAAGCTGGTGCGGCTTGGAAGCTTGCGCCTGAGTAGCTTGGGGCTGAATAGCTTGGGGCTGAGTAGCTTGGTGCTGAGTAGCTTGGGGCTGAGTAGCTTTGGGCTGAGTAGCTTTGGGCTGGGGCAGCGTATGAGGCGGAAATTGCTGGTTGGGCAGCGAACGATGTTGACAAAGCTGGTGCGGCGAATGCTGGTGCAGCTTCAGCTGTGAAAAAATGAGTTGTTAATTTTAAATGCTTCAAAGACGTGTGTATTTCTTGATCATTTACCGAATGAAGCTTGTGCTGGGGCAGAGAAAGTTTGTTGGAATTCTAAAAGAGGCGAGAGACAGTGGTGTGCAAATTTTGTGAAATTGTGCATAAGATGTGTGGCGTTTGTGTGCAGAAGTGCTGTACTTACGTGGTGCTTCGTATGATTGGGCTCCGACGCTGACGGCACCAGTTTGGTATTCTTGAGCTGGTGCTTGGTAAGCTAAGTGTGCATAAATGGGTAATGGATAATGGGTGCATTGTATTGTGCAATTTGCTTAACTAACAAGAGTGTGTGAATGAAATTCTAGCTTTTCGAAATACGAAAATTGAAAAAATTTGCTATCGATTCATTGTACACAGATCATATAGTGTTATAGTGTGCATGGATGAATAAATCAATTTGTTTGCTTACCTGCGCCGGTGTGAACTGGTGGCAAGTAGTCTTTAGTTGGCAAGCTTGGTGGAAGGTATTTGTTCAAGTGTGGAACATCAGCGCTGGCAGCGGCGACCAAAGCGAGAACGACTAAGAATTTCTAAAACAAAAAATTAAAACGTTCAGTTTCAAACAGTTTTCAACATATTTTTTCTACTTTCTTTAAATAAAATCAAACAAAATGGGTAATCCAATGTGCGAAACGAGTACTTGGGCACTGAACACATTTCAATGTTTTTTTTTGCAAATTTAATCACTTGATACTCTTTTCAGTGTAATACAATTTAAAAGATTGCAAATAACTGCTCACCATTTTGAACGGGTTTGTTTTTTTATTTTTTCGGCTAGAACCACAGAATATCTCTTGACCAACGGTAGGATGGCTAGTGAATGATTTCTTAGCTGGACGGTGGCATCTTTTATAGCAAAAATTTCGGTGTTCGTCCATTTGCAGTAGCAATGTTAAAACCGGTCATTTGCCTTTTTTCCTTTCGTCCATATTTCGCCTGCGAAACATTTGAACCACAATAATTAACGTATTAGTGGTTCATCGTTTAGTCGTAGCTATATTTTTTGTTTCTTTCTCTACTACTGCTTCCTCTAGCACACGAACATACGTGAGAAAATAACGATGCCCAACATCATACACATGCATGTGTATGTGCAAACGTTGTTGGCAACTCATAAAAACAAACAACGTTACACCGCACAAATCATAGTTTGTGCATTGAGACGGTGGGGTTGTTTGTTTCGAGCTATGATTTCACTCCTTACACTCAGAGTGATTAGTCGCGTTGGCATCGATGAACATTAGTGCGTTATTATTTCACATAGATAATTTTATGCGATCTCCATCCAGCAAGCCATATCAATTATTTATGCTAGCTTATGCCAATTCTTTTTTAGCATTTGGTTGAGTTATTGACTCAACACAGAAAGAGATGGAGAGATAAAGGAACGTTTCAGTTTCTGTCGAAAAAGATTCATATGATCACATCCATGGGAAACAATTTATTCTAAACAATTCATTTATCACATTCAAAATGTGTGTATTTATCTATCCATTGAATATGGTGAATGTCGACCACGAAAGCGGATATTCTACGTATCGGTATGACAAAATCGAATTGATTAATTTTTAACCATAAATATTGTGTTGTTTCATTATATGCCACTAAAATGTTGCGTTTCACATTCACACATTGGAATATACACACAAAAAAAGTGTTTTCGTGCCAATGCGATGAAATGAAGGAGGTATTTAATCTTTTTATGCTAGTTAAAGAAGCAACAAAATAAACTAAATCAGAGCTATGACGAATCTTTGAATAATAATAATAATATGTGTGACAAAAAATATGGAACATCTTTCAGAAGCATTAATGAATCCAATTTATTTTTTCTTTGTTTCGGTCGTGATCCTTCGAAGCATAAATGCAAATATTATGTCACCGTTTGAATCAAACGACTATTTCGAAAACGAGTCTTACGAGAACCATCGATACTTTTTTAAAGAAGTTTGCTCGTGTTATTCTAACAAGTAAAGGTCCCCAAGTGTCCCACGTCGATTTTAAATTTGAGTATACAGATCGATAGGATATGAAAAAAAAGTAATATTGACAAAAGGGCAGCGGCCCCTTTTGGGGTATAGTGGGGATATGGCCCCTTCTTTACAATGCTTCGTCTGGTGGTTTTTACATAAAAATGCAATTTTCTCATACTAGAAATCGTTTGAGGACAAAAATATGACGATATGAAATGTTCAAGATACTCTAGAGAATCAAATGACACCTTGGGTGGAGTTGCCCTCCACCCCTGAAATGAAATGGAGGGTCAAAAAGTGAAAAAATAGCGAAAAATGACCAATGCATCCCCAAAATAGTGTCAAATAGGGTCAAACCCCCCTTAACCCTCCGAACAAATTATATTTTTGGATTCTTCGTGAAAAATTACTTTAATTTTACTCATGGGTCACCCCCTCCGAGCCCTTCTTTTGGGAGTCCCCATACAATAATTTTGAAAAAAACTAATTTTTTCTGTATATCCAAAAAAACCCTTCACCCCCGAACAAATTACATTTTTGGATTCCTCGTGAAAAAGTACTTTTAGGTTTAGATGATTTCCCATCAAAAAAATCATCCCTTATGTCCTAATTTAAGGACGGAATGTTAAACAAATCGCACCCCAAACCTTCTAATGTATTCCGGCCTTGGTTTAGAGCATAAGAGATGATTTTTTTGATGGGAAATCATCTAAACCTAAAAGTACTTTTTCACGAGGAATCCAAAAATGTAATTTGTTCGGGGGTGAAGGGTTTTTTTGGATATACAGAAAAAATTAGTTTTTTTCAAAATTATTGTATGGGGACTCCCAAAAGAAGGGCTCGGAGGGGGTGACCCATGAGTAAAATAGATAGCCCAGAAAAAATTAGCTATAGTTGGTCTCATATTTCTATGCAAAATTTCCATTCCAAAGGGTAGAAAATTGACTTTTTAATAATTGACCCCAAATGGGGAGGCAATTAAAACTATTCAATTTCTGGGATACTGGGTGCGGGGGGCCGTTGAGAAAATACATTTTCCCACTAATTTGGGTATGAGGAATCCGAATTTTTGGGTTTTACGTCGAAAAAATGTACCCCCTGGGCAGGAGACCCCCCACCCCCCATTGGGGGTCAAAAAATTGGAGGGCGGCTACCCAAAAAAAATTTTCTCATCATTCTGAACAACTTTGCCATACATCATTTTTTGATTGGACGAAGTTTAACAAAGGGGGGTACTCTATCCCCACTATACCCCAAAAGGGGCCGCTGCCCTTTTGTCAATATTACTTTTTTTTCATATCCTATCGATCTGTATACTCAAATTTAAAATCGACGTGGGACACTTGGGGACCTTTACTTGTAAGCAATAATCAGTGGTATTCTTTCTTGTCGAAGAAAAAAAAAGTCGATCTTTTTTCTAGAAGAAAACATTTTTTTGAAGAAGAAATTGATGTTTTTTCATTAGTATCTCCATAAATCGATAAAAACAATATTGATTAGTTTTCAAGTTTTTACATATCGATGACCGCGATAACTGATTTACTGATCGTTGCTGTAAATATATTTTGATTTATGTTGACAAGGCAATGACGTTCCGTCTATTCTCTCTCGCACAGACTAAAATTACGATGTGACCAGAAAAAAAAGCAAACGGTGTCGTAAAAAAAGCTATTCATACGTTGGAATACAATTGACGCAGACAAGTCTTTTGTGTTCACTTACTTCAACAAACGCGTCTCAGTGTGATCAATGACTCTTGTCTATGGAGTTGGATGCTATTGAACAGTGCTCATCAGTGTATTCAACTGTCTTCAAAATTCTTGCTAAAAAACAAACCTGCGATATAAATCAAATTTACGACGAATCAGATTGCAGTTTATTCGAAACATGTACTAGTTCCAACTATGACAAGAACTATTGAGGCACATAAATGCGTCATTTCTTCCTGTCCAGGTGAAACCAAAAAAAAGCACCAACAAAAAGGAGCAACATTATCGCGATTCTTTTAAAATGACTGGTTATTAATACGAAAGCGAGGGATCTGGTTTTTGACCATGCGGCTTTTGTGAGATGCCGGCGACAAAAGTCTCGCTGTGAAAAATTCTTTCATCAAATTTTATTGAGTAGCATCAAATTTGAATGTCAATTTGTCCGATAGCGTGAGTTGCTTGACATTTGAATTTTGTTTGCAAGAGACAAACAACATTGTGTATATTTTCATCATTGGCCAACCGGCAACAACAACAAGGCAAAAGATCTTAAAAAAATGTCTCATCTTCTCTTTTATGTGACCATAATTGTATTCGATTTCCTTTTTTGCATATTTTTTTTTCTTCGCCAAATTGTTGGTGTTTTATATTTTCGAGAAAAAAAAACTTGATATTTTTGGCTACCATCATCCGTTCGGTTTGCCTACGTGCACATCTTTATTAATCTAATGTTCATGATCACGCGTACTATTGATGAAAAAAGTATGGAAATATTCTTAATGTGTGATCATTTTTATTTTTGGCTCTTCAACTTCTCACATGAATATGATTTGCATGAAAAGTGAGTAACTGGTAAAGTGAGAGGTGAACTAAATGGACAGCAGGACTAATGTGGTCAACATATTTACAATTTAATTGAGAATTTTTTGTTTTTAATTCATATTGACACTTAATGGATTGTGCCACAATGGGATTGTATCGACAGTGAAACAAAAATATCTTCTTTCGTGAGAAATAGAGAAAAAAAAACTGATTATTTAAGATCTATATCAAACATTGACAATAAAAAGTTAAAATATTTTTTTGCGACATAACGAAACTATAAAAAGGAGAGAAAGAGAATCCAAAAATAAAAAAAAATTGACGTTTAAAACTTGCATAACTTGCATTACTTAATGTATTCGTATTTTAGATATTTTATCATCAATAGATCGGTCGACGTTTGTTTAGCTTTTTAAATTGTATCAAATTGTTTATGTGATGCTTTGACACACCGGTTCCTTTCAATCCCATAAAAAAAAACACATCAAAATTTGCCGACGTCCATTGGTAACAAATTGAAACGAACATTGGTAGAGGTCAATCGGTGCACATATTATGAAGAAAAAAACTGTGAATAAAAAGACAACCATAAAAAATGAAACAGCGGATGAATCATGCCCGAAGAGATTTATATCGTTTGATCAGGAAAAACAATTAAAACTATGGCAATCGATGAATGTGATATTTAGTTTTCACATCGTCCCATATATTAACATCTCGTATCGTATATTATTGTTACATATGATTTCCTAGGTATTGATCCATATCGCGTCGTCGCTGCAATAAATTTTGTATCAAGGATTTACTGCCGGTCAAATATGTCGATGATATTTAGTATTATCAAGTGTATTTATCGATTATCATAACTTTTTTTGCAGCAAACTTCATTTTTGTATACCGTTGCTATGAAAACCGCATTTAGTCCATTTGAATTACCTGCTTTGGTCATAATCCATTTAAACCACCTTGAATACAATCCAAAACAAAAATCAATTTAATCAAATAAAATCCAGTGAACTGATTCAAAGAAGAATAAATTGAATTCATATCATAAAATTGTATTTATTTATCTTTTCAACCGTCTAAACGTGTGGTTAATATCGATCTCTCTCATGAACTTTCATCGTCATCATCTAAATTATCATAGACTTCATCGAATCCATCGATGTTTTCTAGTTTTGTTTTAAATTTATTATAATCGTTCAATTCACCCTCAGTCAACTGCACCAGTTGAACGTTCGGAAAGAATTCAACTTCAGAGTGCTCAATTTTATAGCCGGCTGTCGAGAGTTTTTGTCGTACTCTCAAGAATTCCCTTGGTTCACAGAAAAATGTGACTTGTCGTTCGACTGCATTAAACACTTCAATATCCTCTGCTCCACATTCGATGGCATCACTCAAACATTCGTCTTCGATATTCTCCGGACTGATTCCATCGCGTGCAATGACATTGACTACACCGCGTTCGACAAATAAGCGTTTTGTGTTTATTGCATCTACCAAATGTTTCCTGAATACGGTAGCAATCTGAATTTTCGTGTGTGCCAGATTATCTGTACAAATGGCAATGACGACATACAGTTTTTTGTACAATTTTCCTTCGAACAGGTGCCTCTGGAAGGCGGTTTTATCCTTTGTATCGACCAATTTCTTCAAGAGATTTTGAATGGTCGCTTTTGGTACATCACGTCGTTGAGCCTCTTCAATTGCATTCCGTAACGTAGTGTTTAGTTCCGGATTTGGTGATCCACCATCTGCAAATATAGACGCATTCATTTGAGCCGTGAAAAACACCAAGCAAAATTTTCATTAAAAAGAGAACAAACCATTGGCAGCGAGACGCAGCAATCGCATTTGTTTCGCAATCATTTGGGCTCGTTGTTGATCATTCTCCGATTTGATGTGCTTGATATTCTGCCATTTGGCATGACCTTTCAAATTGAACGCCGATGTTTGCACAAAACGCTTTGCGATGCTGATTAACATCAAGTCCACCGATTTTAGCATGTTTCAATCGTTTATTTACCACTCATTTTTCTAGAGTTGGAAAGAAGATGAACAAAAACTTTACAAAACATAACCTAAATGCCGATGTTTCAATGTCAACCAATCAGCTGTTGAGCGATAGCTGCAAAGTTTTTCCAATAGATGGCACCACATATGTGATATATATCGGCAATGAAAATCAATGATAAACAAACAAAAATCGATTTTCGGTAAATTGATGCATTTTATTTTTTGTCCCCTCAATACAGACATTTTGCAATTTTTACAAATACGGTATAACATTTTATTGTGGATTTAAGTAGATTGCAGCACCTCGTTGTGGATTTGTTACAAATACTACATTATCGGCATCACTTTCATCATAGTCCGGTGAATGCTTGAAATATTTCTCTTTCAATTCGTTGATATACTTTGAACTGCTTTCCAGTGAGTCGCAAATGGCAACGATGCATCCGCCCCAACTGCAGAAAATTTAAGAATCGTTTTAATATTTTTTTTTCTCCAAATAAAAGAAATTCTTTGTCGATATTTACCCAGCGCCGGTAAGACGAGCACTCACACCAAATCGATCTGAAATATCGACTAATCGATTCAGATTTTCGTGTGAACATTCGTACAGTTCATTCAAGCTAAAATGCGATTCGCGCATCAGTTTGCCCAAATCTTCAACATTTCCGCTTTTTGTGGCCACCTCACGGAATTGAGCCACTCGAAGTGCCTCTGAAAGTCGAATGGAAATTAAGTGTTTAAAAGATGTTATGGCTATGGTATAAAATGCAAAAAAATTTCATTAATTTCAGACAGAATTGCTTTGAATTGTACCTTGAATGACATGCATGGCACGCTGACGCAATTTGAATTTTTCCAAATGCTTCGTATTGGGCGTTAACAATTGGTTCTCAAATTCATTCTCATCCACTTCCAACACACCAATGATATCGTCTCTTGAGTAGAGATCTTGTGTTAAAATTCGATCGGCGAACGCTTCAAAATCAGCCAGCGAACACTTTAATCTCTTCTGCAGCATTGCAAATCGTTCCAACTCTCGCCACGGTAAATTTGCACTCTTGGCAAGTATTCGGCAGGCCAATCGACATTCGATGACCCGTTGATTGAAATCAGATGTGGCCGCTTTGTTTGCCCGTGTCAAACTGTTGGCAATGACAAAGTAGGCATTCGAAGGTAAATTGGTTGAAGTTGCTGTCAATGGTTCCCATTCAATGTACTGAGCACATCCTTCGACCGCTAAAAATGCTATCGCCTGATCCATTCCACCTCCTTGGGTGCCGATGTACCTTTCACACTTTGCTGAAATGTCCGCCAGAGTGGTTTTGTTCAAGCTAAACTATTTTTAAAAAGCAAAATGTATCGATCAAAACAAAAATCCATTTGGAAAAATTGCGTTCAAAGTGAAGGCAACGAACCTCATTCACAAAACTGGTAGCCAATGTAGCGGCACTAACCAAGGCACTTGAGCTCGATAGACCGGCTGCTGGTGGAATATTGCCGGATACTGTGACATACATACCGCATTGTTTGCCATTCGGCAGCTCATCATAGATTCCTTTGACACCACACAGAAAGTAATTGTACCATTCTGGTGGAATGGCATTTTCTGGCACTTTGATACTAAAACATTTGAAAAATAAAATGATGTGAAAATTTGAAAAATCGAGAAAAATATATGGTTCACATACTTGATCGCATCTACGGCGCATTCAGTCGACTTGTATCGTTCATTGGTGTTTGTAATGTGTAAAATTCGATCATCGGATGGTGCAGCTGCAAGAAGAATGCTCTGTTCAACTGCCATCGGCAACACTGGATAGCCGCAATAGTCAATATGTTCACCGATCAGATTTACCCTGTAAATGCATATGTTTAGTAAATAGTCACTTTCCGAACATATTAAATTGTCTTACCGGCCGGGAACGTTGACAAAGAATGTTGGTTCACGTTTAAAATACGCTTGGAATGCATCACGTAGAATGTTCAGTCGTTGTGAATTGTTGATGTTTTGTAGGTCGTTCAAACTACCAACTGAAATGTCATTCGAAGTGTCAGTCATGTTGTTGGTGTTGCTTCTGTGTGCGCTCTCTATGACGTGTCAACCGTTGGCCTCTTCTTCTTCGCTTTTTGTTTACAACGCAACGAAAATATTTTGTCTGGAATGTGTTTGAAAGCGATTGAATGAAGTTTTTTTTTTCGCTTTACCTAGTAAAGATTTTAATCAGTGTCCATTCATGAATCCGGCCAATCGTATCAAATTTATTTTCAATGCCAACGTTCTATCAAAAAAAAAATTCTTTATCCCTCCAAAAAAAAGAGAGTGAATACACTGACGTCTACCAAAGCGGTCCAATTCATATAGATATCGAAGCAAAACTGAATTCAGAGCTTCAAATATGTTGATTCGAATGATAATGTCAAGAGCCGCACACAGAACAAAGTGACACATCCAATTGAATGAAACATTTACATCGAAATATGTTTTTTTGTTTTGTTTTTATATTTCTCTTTCGTTTCGTATCAAAACTCGACCCGTCGATGTTGTTGTCGTCGTTGTCGTCGTCGTCACACTTATTCAGAATTGTTTTGACCGCTTCACATGGATACTTCAAATCTACTGCATCGTTCTTCATTTATTTCACTCTTTTGTTGATATCTTTCAAAACAGACCCATTCAATTACTTCAGACGACGTTTAATGCGTTGATAACGAATGATTTTTTTAAGGTGAACGATCTTGATAAGACCATTTGTAAACAAATTAAACCGTTTGTCGTGCTGAAATGTATTTGTCTGCTGTGCATGTCATAAAGTAGAATCCGTAACAGGAATACTTATTATTAGCGCATGAGCATGATTTCGTTGGAAATTGTTTAGCGTTTGCTGTTCTCTTTCCCATTGCAATTTTGCCACTTTAATTTTCTTTTCGTTTTTTCATTCGTATCGATAGATAGGTTTTTTTTTTCTCGTGAATAAATTATTGTTATTGGCTGGTTTCATGTCATGTAAATGCGTTTAAATTTTTATCTCTTTCTTATTTTCCAAGAATCAATTCATCACGACTTCAATGCGTACTAATTATGAAAGAAAAAGATTATCAATTAGAATTTAAATATGAATGCATTCTTTCGTGTACTCTTTTCCGTCAGCGATGAACTGAATGTTTCAGTGAAACATGTGTACGGCATGTATGAATACCCGGATTGCATAGATTAAGGCGGCAATTATATCAAACAACGCTCGTGGAGTTGGTTGATTATTTTGAATGAATATCAAAAGCTCAACACGATTCAAAAGTTCTCACAAGACCATCGGAATGTCTAACTGCCGTTATGACCCTTGTAACGCACAATTAACTCTCAAACACACAATTTGGCTGGGTTCAATAGAAGTGTTTACTCGCACGTATTCATTAGATTATGATAATAGCAGTAGGAATTTACTGTTTTTTTGTTTTTGTTTCTCATTGTTCCAAAATTAGAATCGAATTGGGTTCATCGAGTTATTTTTAGCAACGATATCAAATGAATAAATTAGTCTCAATTTCAATGCGAGAAAAAAAAGTTCCGATATTTGATTCTTGCAAAAAAGAGGCGTTTTATTTGAAATGATCAAAAAAGCAAAAAAAAAAAATTGGAAAATCACATAAAAATGGTAGGGAAACTCAAAATGATGTGAACATCTAAGGCTGAAGAGGATACATCAGAGGGAGATGAAAGTAATGGTTGAGTTAATTGTTTTGGTTCAAGAATGCTCGTTCCACATGAATTGATCACCAAATACGCTATTAGTAGAAGCCACCATAGTAGCCATAGCCGTATCCTGGATAAAAAGGCGCTAGAATTAAAAATAAAAGTCTTTTTGATTAGAATAAATCCAGAAATGGTTTACCATATGAACGATAGGGATAGTATGATCGGTAGTAGTATGGGTATCCTAAAAGAATTTTGGGAGAATGGTTTGCAAAAATTGTTCGGGTTATTCCAATTGTTTTGGTTATAAAATAAAAGAAATTTGGAGTGGAAATAGATTGGAAGGGAAAATTGGAAATTCTTGAATTTACCATATCCATAGCCTCCATAGCCGCCATAGAATGGGTATCCATAACCTCCGTAGTATGGTCGATGTCCATAACCGCCGTATGGGTAACCGCCATAGAATCTGATGAATGAAGTAATATGTGTGAAATTATGTTTTTATCGTCACAATGAAAATCACACGGAATTTGCGAAATTATTCAAATTATTGAAATTTTCTCATTTTCATACCCATAGCCGTATGACGATGATCCTTTCAAATCTTGGCCTTGTTCAGCTACAGCTCCAGCTCCAGCTCCAGTTTCGAGTGTGTCGATTTGTCGTTTTTCCAATCCACGTGGAGCAACACCGACTGGTGCTCCTGGCGATGCTGGCTGTGGCATTGCAGCTGGAATGGCCACGGCACAAGCGATAACAGCGAACAAAAGAACAAGGACCTAACAGCGAGTTTTTTTTTGTGTCGATTTCATTTCAGAATGCAGAAAGCAGAAGAAAAAAAAGAGTTGATATTATGATTATCGAATGCAACAATATCGTATTTGAAGCGCACAAGAAGCGCGCGATGGAGAAAACAATGCAAAAAATGCATTATTGATTCCGATCAGTATCACGTATTTTATTCACTGGATAGAATATGTGCATCGCAATTTAAATATTTGAAGAGAAAAAAAAATTCGGATTTTGTGCGGATAAAAATTTCAAATTGCACTCACAGCTCTGGTGGCACACATTTTTTTTTCTTTCTGCTTCTCTTTTTTCGTTCAACAATGAATGAATTAATTTGCCTGCGACTTTTAGTATTCGCCTATGGTATGCAGTTTCTTTTGATTTATTCTTTGGTTCGTTTTGCGTTTTGTTTTCTTTTCGCACACGACTGCTGGCTAAACTCTGCTGGTTCTACTCACTATCTATCTATCGACACTAAATCTGTGACTGACAAACAATGGGCCGATGGATGCTCTTTTATACTAAAATCGCAACAATTGCGACTTATAAATAAAAAAAAAGGAAAGAAATACAAATATTAATTTAATAATAGTTGTGTACATACCTCCATGAACCATCCAACCAAGCTGAGTAACAGCGATAGCAACAGAGGTAGCTGATTTGTGATTGTGTACATTCATTCTTCTACGCTCTTTCCATGCATTTAGCACACACACACACATACACACACATGTATATTCAATTCCCATTCAATTCAATTCATTCAAATCGATCGCGCACAGTGGCAGAAATTTGTATTCTCAATGAAAATGACAAAAAATAAAAAAAAATAGTATTGCAACAATATTACTTTTAATTATAATAATAGAGATACTAATGTGTGTATAAATACATAATTAAAGCGATTTCCTTTCTTAAACGCATTGCAAGCGTGTATACGCGAAAATAAAAAAAGATGAAACAAATGTATGTATTAAATACAACAAACCTTACCACATTACCTTACAGCGGATCAATGGACAGAGAGTCAAGAATTTCGTTTTCATTTTCGTTTTCATTTTCGTTTTCCTTTCTGGTATTTGCGTCTATTTTTTTTCTTCTTCTTCTTCTTCATCATTTGTTTGTTTCATTGGAAACATTTCCATATGTACCGGGGTTTTGTGCGTGAGCGTGCGCGCGTGCACATAAACCTACCGTCCGATTGCATATCCAAAGAGATGTACATACACCACACACAGCAACGAATCATGCTTTTCAAACGAAGAAAAGGAACAAAAAAACACGGTGGCAGCAACAGTAACAAGAAGAAATATACAAAAAGCGCAGCGCGCTTATACCAAGAGCCCATATCGTATGCGACCAAAACGATGTGATAAACGAAATCGAATGACGACGATGAAATAACAATAAACGGTGAACAAATAGCAAGTGGTGCGCGCATATATTCAAATTATGACGAATAATGAACGATAATTTATAGGTTTGATTTGGTGGATAAAAATAAAACGAAAAAAAAATCATCGTTGGACACGTTCATCGTTCGAGGTATCATAATACTTTTGATTTTTTTTTTGTCCCCCCAAACAACACATGTTTTCGCTGTTGCTGCAGTTATGAGAGAATTATTTGGAATCAATGCTATCGAATTGGATGTGTATTGAAAATTACAGCCGTTCGACTTGTCCACGATTGCTAGGTAGCTTGGGTTTAATCATGCGTATTTTTCGCAAACGAAGAAGAAGCAACAGAATACACACACAAAACATTTCGTGAATTAGGAAATCATCGAACATGCATACGCACTTACACACACCCATTGCACTACAAACCTTTAAAAAGAGAGGATTTCAACTAGAAAACGGCGATGAACCCACGCATGCAGAAAGGCCTAGACAAGCTGTGATTCCGTGTCAGATAACTTGGACATGTTATAGCATAAGCTTATGCATAACATACATACATCGAAGTCGTCGGAAAACGTTTTTTTTTCTCGTTGAGTTATTCAAGTCTCGAATTTTACTTTCAAAACGACAGTAAGCACATTCTTGAATAATTGTGTTTTAACCGTTTATCGATATACAACGAATTTTTTTTTTTTTTTTCATTTTTGTGCGATTCATTCAAAATGATTCAAACGATGACGTCGCGTATCGAGCATAGAGGTTCGTGAAATTGGAAAAAAAAACGAGAAAAAAATGAACAACAGTTGATATCAAAGCTTTCGTGACGGATAAAGGTATTTCTTCGAATGAGAGACGTATCAAAACCTTGTTCTAAATTTTCTCTCGGACTTTAGTCGATAGTCTCGTGTTGCTGACGCTATCTTCGTCGTCGTTGTCGTCCTCGTCGAACGGGATGCATGCATAATTTCTTAGCCAGGAACCAAAGTGTTGCTTTAACATCCAGCCACCGACGACGGCGACGACGACGACGACGACGACGATACACAGCATTAAACGTGATCAAATTATGATCTCATGCTAATTTGTTCGATCGGTTTGTTTATGACCTATAAATAAACGACGTTTAAAACGTGGTTTCGTCGCTTTAATGACCGTTAGGCATTGAAACGAAACACGATTCTAACCAATCTGTTGCGATGTGCAATTAACATCCAATTCGAAATGTGTGATTACTTTCTGAATTGAAAAAAAAAATCATACATGTATCCAGAGATTTGCTCCCACGACAAATACACACGCAGAACGACGGAGAGAGAGAGAGAGAGACTCACAAAGCACAAAAATCGCCCGAATTGTCAATTTGAAATTGAGTGGAAAAATAGGTGGAGAAAACAAAAGCAGTCAAATGTGATAAAATGTTCCATTTTAATATATGTACAATGATTTTTTTCTGTTTTCAATCGCATGTGTATCATCGTCGTCAATGAATCAATGCCATTAAGCGAATGAGCGCACGCTCGCGCGCTACACATGCATTTTCATATGAAATCAATAGAGAGTGTTTAGTTGGTGCGCAACAGCAGCTCCCACAATAATGTTTTGTGGCCATTTTTCATGTTGGTTTTCCTTCCCGACACAGCATCAGAATTAAATGAAGCAAACAAAACAACAAATATAAATACAGGTACATATAAACGATTGATTTCAATAGAATACTGAACTACGTGTTGTTGCACATGACTAATTTTCTCATAAATAATTAAATGTGCCCCGATGGGACATTCTCTCTGTCATGGAAGTTGAAAATTTCAAAGTGATCTCAAATTTATATCCAACAGCTGTGAAAAATGAGCGATTAAAAATAGACTGCGGCAGGTTGGCAATGTAGAGAAAAAAGCAAACAAACGATATACACACAGCATAAGAATACTGACGAAAAAAAAACGACTCAACGATGAACATCAACATCAACAAACGAACAAATCAGCAGTTAACTGTCAACCGATGAGGCGATGCACTTAATTCATTACCATTCCGAAACAATGATCCAATACTTTAAATGCTTGGAGTTGCTTCTTTGTGCCTGGCGAAACAGACGGAATTTCAATTTGTGCATTTTTTTCGCTTCTCCTATCTGTGTCTCGTTCGATCGGCCGATCGTTCGTTCGTTCCTTCATTGACGCAATTTTCTGCTTAGTTCCTTGATTGCCAGAGCGGTCATCACATTTTGTTGAGCATATCGAATCGAAAAGAAAGAATTTAGAAAAAAGTCTCCAAGCCACAAACACACACACACACACTCTCTCTTTTCCACACTTTTGTGAACTTCGCTGATGATGAATTCATCAATGATTCGCTTCTCGGCTAAACGTAATAATGCTTCATGCTGCACTGCTGTTCCTACTGCTGCTGCTGCTTATTTGTACACGAAACGAAAATTTACCGCACGTTAGAGACTTCCAGAGATCCGCTTTGCAACAATGTAAAACGTTATGAATATTACTTATGAATCGTTATGAAAATGCATAATTTATTGCTCTGTATTTTATTTGTGATGCATATGGCAACAGCACACAGCGAGAGACGTTTGATGAAATATTGAACAAACTATTAACATTGCTAATTTATCGGCTGCTGACTATCCATTTGATAATAATGGAAACGAAATTATGAATATGTTCAAATAAACCTGATAAACTGGTTTTTTTCTTCTTTCTGTCTTGGATGCAAATCGTCATAATGCTTCATTTGAACGTCAACTAATTACTCAAAACCTAGTTGCAACCAGGGTGGTTGAAATCAAGATCAATTTTCATTTTTAATTTCTTATACATATAATGCATGCTCATTTATGTATTTTAATGTATATCATCTTGGGGCGGCTATTATCTCCGGGTGTTGATTATTTTAGGATTGTTTTTTTTTTAATTGAACAAATTGATACAGCATGAGGAAGTTTCCCATTTCGATTTTTTTTTCATCGTCCATAAATTTACATGACTATTGAATAATAGAACTGCATTCTTTGGCAATTATATTATTACACAGATGTTCAACCGATTTATTCAGTCACCTGGCTTGAACCGATTAAATTTGATTAAATCTGTGTGTTTTTTTGCGTTCAATATTGATAATAGGTGCTAATAAAAACATAGACAAAAATGACATAAAAAAACGAATAAACAGATTGAATATTAAAAGTCATAAAAAGTAAATGATCTGCTGAGTCAGAGGCGCAACAAACAATTCCACCTGTTCAACGAAACATACTACGAACAATTGCACTTTATTATGATTATATTTTGTGTGTGTGTGTGTGTGTGTGTGTGTGTGTTGCAGTCAGGAGGGTTTTTTTTAAGCTTGAGCAATCAATAACCATCACATGGATGGTAAACATCGATTAGCTAAACTATTTTGAATCGTAATTGGATTGCAGTCCAATTTTGGGCTTGATAAATAAAAGATATATGGCATTTTGATTGTTGTTTTATATAAACGGTATACTCATTTTATTGATCATTGTTGTTTCTTCTTTTTTTTTATTGTACAAAAAATAAATGTTACAAAAAAATTGAAAAGAGATTTCATTCAGCTCATTCAGTTGCCTATGCGTATACACACATTGGTGCGCCTCATTCGTTCACAATTAGGCGTACACACACATTTTAGTGTGTTGCATATTCATGAATTCGGTGTGACTTGAAACCTCATGTGCTGAATGAAATTTTTGGAAATGGCAGTTACAAATGATTACGTTTTTTGTTGTATTTGTGATTGAACTGAAAAAAAAGAAGGAGTTCATATGGTTTTTGGTTTTTTAGTTTGGTTTGATGAGAAATAAACAAAAAACACAAGTATTATAATCAGACGGGACGGGGGGAAACAAAGAAGATAGACGATAGATAAGGTAGTTGCGTGTGGAGAATAAACGTTAAAATCATTTTTGGAAAAGGAGACAAATGCGAAAAATTAATTAATCAGTTATCCGTTCGGCATAGTTTTGTATCCCATGTCGAAAATTATTTGTATCGAAAATTCCTTGGTAGTCATAAAATCTAGTAGATGTTGCTTTAGTAGTAACCACCGTAGTATCCACCATATCCTGTTGAAGAAAAAATGACCGAAAACATTTTTTTTTTTTCAAATATTTTTTTTCTTTTTCATTAATTTTGACGAGTTTGTGTACCTCGTGAGTATGGAAAGCTCGAGTAGTATCCGTATCCATAGCCAGGATAACCGTAACCACCGTAACCACCTGAAACCAAATTGACTGCTTTGAACGGATTCTTCTACGTTTGAATGTGCTTTCTTTTTCGTTTGAATATGGCCACGAGAAGAAAAAATTGTTGAGTGAAAAGTGTTCTTACCATAAGTGGAGTAAGCATATGGGTATCCACCATAGTAGCTGCCCAATCCATATCCGCTGCCACCATAACCGAGACCACCATAGTATCCATATCCGTAGCTGGAGGATCCTTTCAAGTCTTGGTCATCGGCGCCGCTGGTCAATTGTTCTGATTCGGGGCCGGCAGCGCGTTGGCGTGCAACTGGAGCAATTGGTCTTGGCTGTGGTGCACCAGCTGGAATGGCAACAGCGCATGCAATGATGGCGAATACGAAGACAATCTTATTGAAACAGAAAAAAAAATTTAAACTTTTGCTTTGGGAAATCGAAAAATTGCCGTAAAAACTAGAACTAAGCAAAAAGGGGATAGATAACAGCGATATTCTCGAATTTTGGCCAACGTATTCAGCTGATTATCCTTTCGGTTAAATAAATTCCAAAAAGATTATCGAATCAACTTGAAAAAAAATAATAATCCAAATTAAAGACACCGATTCGCGGGAAAAATGAGGGAAAAATCAACAGGCAAAGCACTTGTACATGTTATCACTTTGAAATTTTTGCGAAAATTTGCGCAGAGTCTGTTCGTTTTTTTTTCTAAGTCCAAAATAATTGGAAAAACTTACAACTTTCATTGAAACCATTTTTAACGTTATTTCATTCAAGTCGTTGGTTAAAACACACAATTGAATTCACTTGCTACTGAGAGAGCTGGTTATTTGAATTTTCTGTTTGTTAGCAAATGACACTATCTAGCAATGGCTAAATCTGTACTGACAAAATAATCGACGAGTGCCCACTATTTATACACCAAAATTCAGGCCTGAAAATGAACAATAACAGAGCGAGGCAATGCTAATCATTTTTTAGTTCGTATAGAAAAAAAAGATCGTATTGGCATCGCACAATGCTGAGATATAAAACAGGTGGTAGAAGAAGTACACATCTCAAAAAGCCTATTGTACAATGAATAGCATAGTACATAGTAGCGATGGTGCGCGCGCGTCAGTAAAATGCTCGCTACGATATCAGCAGCGGTAGCGACAGCAACAGCAGCAGTAGCAGCAGCAGCAACAACAAATCACAATCCAAATTATTGTTTATTGTTGTTGCTTTGCACAATTACGGTGTGTGCGGCTACATGACGTTTTTCGTCTCACTCTTATGAACGATCTTTCTCGGCTGGTGCGTGTGCAGTTGTCGGATAAAAACACACACTCACGATACGTTTGCCATTCGCAGCTACAGTAAAAATGCACGGAAAACACGAGAAGTAAGGGAAAAAGTGCGCAAAACACATCATTGCTGATACAATTTTTCGACGTCGATGTATTGCCCAAAAACAATGGCCCAAATCAAAGTCAATGATGAATATATGTCGAAAAATGAGAAAACAAATCGAAACCGAAAATTAAAGAGCGAACAAAAATATGCCGACAAAGCCACACATGTCATTGTAACCATTTCCTCTTGGATCGATCATTGAACAATATGAATAGAAAAAAATCAGTGGAACGCAGTCGAAAGAACCCAAACGATTGCAAGAGTCCAGCAATCATCAAACCAAATTAGATTAATTCAGTGTACAATTACATGTCGGTGGCGTGGCAATGAAATTCTGCGTCAGAACCACAGCCGCTATGCATTCAATTGCATTGCACTGGTACTGATGATATCTCTTCTCAATTGAATTCCAATGGAATAGAATCAGCAGAGCGCCGCTTCGAAATATTTTTTTTCTTCTTTTTTTCAAGTCTTTCGTCCATCTTTGCGCATTTCCACACACATATTCATCTCGGTGTTTGAGAATGTGCGCACTGTGCACAATCAACAAAGTTGCAAACGTGAGGTGCGAGTGCATGTGTTGTATTTTCCACATTCAGCTTTCAAAATAGAGATTCAAATTAAAGAAAAATGTGCTTGTTCTGTTTGAAAAGAGAAGAAAAATGGTGTTCGTTTCTTTTTTGCGTCCATATTATTGTCTACTTTGGAGTACATGGCCGATCGCTAATTAATAACAACATCATTATTACAGTTGCTATTATCATTTTTTGAACGTAATTTTGCAAAAGGGGAAAAAAAGAAACAAAAACGAGAGAAAAAAAAGTGGAAAACGTACGATGTTTGATTGTTTTTCCATGGACAGCGAACGCAAAACACAACAATCATAGATATCATATAATAATGAGCGAGAGACCAACGTTTGCAAGAGCTGCGAAAATCTTTACAGCTATGCCACTAAGATCACCGCCCGAGTATCTTAACACAATTGTGGCCGATTTTTTTTCTTCGCTTCAAACATTTTCTTTGAAGGGGGATTGTGTAATCGAAAAGCCAGTGACTTGTATCCAAAAGCAAAACGCAAATGAAATATTCGAAGAAAAAAGAAATAGAAAACTCTGGGTGTTTGACCCAGAGATGGTGAGAAAGAAAGAGAAACAATACAAATTAACAGCAACTAACATGACAATAAATAACAAAAAGTGCGAAAAATAAGCGAGACTTTGAGCGAAAATTGACTATTATCATTGTGATCATTGTTTGCATTCAAGAATATTTTCTATTCAAGTGGTGTGTGTCGTGTTTATCCCTCTCGTGCACTTGGGTGTTGTGTCCATCGTGTAGAAAATGCGTTTTAGAGAAGAAAAAAACTGTGAAAATTGTGTGTGCAAGCGTGCGCACCTTTGGTGTAATTTAAACAAACACGTTCGTTTGCTTCAATGAATGGGTCTCGATTTTTCGTTTTTCTCGGTCAGAAAAACGGCGGCAATATGGAAATTAACGAACGAAAAAAAACAAACATGTGCGCGCGCATTTTCAGCATCGCATAGCCAGTGTGTGTGTTTGGGTATTTATGAGCTATGCCGCTTCTGCAGGCAGCTCGGGCGTCCATCTTAAAACAGCCACACCGCGAAAGAATGCACAAATTAACTTTGATCATTTATGAAAATGAAAATGAGAATGGAATTAGCAAAAAGAACAAAGCAAATGAACAACAACAACCACAAAAAAACAAACAAACAAACACACACACATGGACAAACAACATGAAAATTCATAATGAGCTGCAGCATTATTTTCAATTCATTTCTGATGCTTTTGTATGTCATTAACATCATTTCGCAAAAATAATGTTGCATATAATTTTTACTCGCTGCAGTCGTAGTTCGCGTCACATACTTGTATTTTTGCGAGTTCACTCGCACGCGCACCAATTCCACACCGTTAGCTCTCGGGCCCTTCGAACACACACACACACACACACACAACTATTTTTGTTTTTCGCTACTTTTGTTTCCCCCAATTGCTCATATGCGCGCGATCGGTGTGTATGCATTTTGCGATTCTTTTCTTCTGCCGCTTGTATTTGAGGCATCGGATTTTCTTCAATGTGCCATAGCGAAGCGTACACCGACCAGGGGGCCGAACGATGATGCAGCGCATCTATGTGAAAAAAAAACTCGTGAAGAATTATGCTTGAAACAACGAAAATTGCAAGTTATTAACTCGCCACGATAGAGAACAGAAAAAAAGAACCTCGGAAACATGAAATGCAAATTTTGAAAAATGAAAAGAAAAAAAATTCATTGTGAGCATAGGCCGTGTGGCAAAGGGAACCTAATTCTGATTTAATTCCATATTCTATTCTCATTTTCTCTTGAAATATGATGAGCAAGCGTGCGTGCGTGCGTTTGTTTGTATTCAGCGAGAGAGAGAGAGAGAGAGAGAGAGAAAACCGCTGCTGATGATGTGCCTTTTTTCTCATTCTTTTTGTATTCGGTTTTTATTAATTTTCTGAAATTATTTTTTTCGTCTTAAAGAAGTGAAGAATAAAAAAGAAGAGAATTACATGCGTAATACGCGCGCGGTGAAGGTCCTTCAGGTATGGCCGAAAAGTCAATGTTTCGTTTGGCCGCATGATGTTTCTTCATTTTCTGCTTCATTTTTGAAAATTGTTTTCCTGTTGTGCTCTTTTTTTCTATTTGCTTTCGGTCATAGTACACGGTCCCAACCACAAGATTAGAAGTAACGACGACGACAACAACAACAACAACAAAAATATCATAATAATAAAGAAGTCGACTCGCATTTTCCTTGAAAATATTATTTTCGTTTTTTTTTTGTTCATTTCTTATTCTTCATTACATTAGCATTACACATTAAATCACCAGCCGGTTTGGAATAGCGAGCAACAAATTATGTGGATATAGTATCCGCCGAAAAAGCGACGGGCACGCGTATCAAAAACAAGAAGAGACAATAACTCAATCAAATATTCGGTACGTAATGAAAATGTAGACAGGTTAAATTACCTAGTTCCTATTTTTGTTAGGAAATAAATCACATACTGGCAATAACATTACGTACGCACACCACACCACATGTAGAATGCAACGATTTACTTCATTGCCATCAAATTGGGCAAAAGTCGTGATGTGTGTTCACTACTTGTTCGCGACGACGACGACGACGACGCGCAAACAAACAATTTAAGCGCAAAATGTGGGACAGAAAGAGATGAAGACCAAATAAAAAGCACAACCACCAGCCGTAGTGACACACTATTACAAATAAATACAGTAGCGAGCGAAGAAAAAAAAATTGATGTCTAACTAAACGCAATGTTATGATTACAAAAAGGCCAAGCGGGGAATCCAAATCGGATTTGTGAATAAAAACGAAACACTTTGGAATATTGAAATCAAAATACACACACACACCATTGTATTCGGAGACCAGAAGCTTAGCATCCATTGTGCTTCTCAATATCCAAACAGATGAGGAGAAACAGAATAAAAGCAGCAACAACAACATAATTGAGTATAAGGTGTTAATGGAATGCTAAGACTTGGAGAATTTGGTACGGTGGCACCGAACAAAAAAAAAACAAACCATAATGCACAATGCTGAAACTGAAAAGAACATTTTAAAAACCGAAAGTGAATTCGACGTATAAATAAACAAATAAATATGATTAATGCGTGTGATTCAATATGTGTATTTGATCTCTCTGGTGGAATTTTCAGCACCAATTATCCATCCATCGAGTCAGCCCCAACAATATCAACAGTACACAGAAAACAAAGCAAAAAAAAACACACATATTAAAAGCGGCCTGTTTGACTTATACACACGAGTGATAAAATAATGACAATGACAAAATTGTCAATTTTGTTTTCCCAGCCACAAATAATACAACGTATTGTGTATCGAGTATCGTGCATAAACAAAGTCTTTATATATCTTTGTTTGGTACGAGATGAAAACGGATTTTTGAATCGACACAAAATTAAATGAATACACAGCGTGCCGGTTCTGATCGACGATCGATAATTGTTATTACACTTGAAATTAAACTAATTTTACACTCCGTTGCCGTTTTAGCAACAACAAATGGCGAAATTTCGATTTTTCGGCCCCAGAAACTGCCCAATTTATTGCTAGAACAATTATGACGCATAAGATAAAAATGAAGAAACCATAGCAACAACCACTTTAAGTTGTTGATCATTTATGTAATTCCAATGGCATGGACTTTTCTTGCTTCAGTGCCACCGCGGTGTTGCAACGGATCAAATTGAGCGCACGATGTCTTGTCGACATTTCGATGTGTATTTGTTTGTGACAGTTCAACAAATTCTGTCATTATCATCACTCTTATAAATATCATATATCTGACTGTATGACATTAATGGACAATATAATTAGAGGTGCACTTGTGGTGGAATTTCGTAATGCTCCGTACCATTCTGGTCGTCAGATTCTGGTCGAAAATAACCCAATCATTTCAGAAATATTCAATTTGCTAATAAACAAATGATCTATCGAAACGCATCTCTCTCTCTCTCTCTCTCTCTCTCTCTCTCTCTCTCTCTCTCTCTCTCAATCCACCAAATAATAATGAGATTGCTCATCTTTTCATCGCATTCGAGATTTTTTTTTTGCTTCAATGACTTTATTCAGCATAATATCATACAAAATTAGCGCATCTAACAAAACACACAAATTCAAATCAACCGAAACATTTTAAATCCTATATCAATTTCACTTCGTGTTACCGAACCTTGATTACATCTTAATTGATTCTTGCGTGATCTTCATTTCATTCCGACGAGAATTGATATATACATACTAAATATATATTTTTAGCTCTGCTGACGCGCATTAAATGTAGCGAAAATGTTGGATGTAACAACATGATTTATTTCATTACATTCATTAAATGTTCGGATTTATTTTCGAGAACTTTTTTTGGTGTTTCGTTTGCCACTATTTGCTTTTGTTGTTCTCTCGTTTCATGTTTTGTTGGCAGTGGTAATTACTATGGTAAAAAACCTTGTAAAGCATTCATTAGGTGCACTTGAGCTGAAATGCTATACGGTAATTGTGTTTGGACGCGAAGCTTTTCGATAATCGCACGTATTTTATACTAACCAAGAGAGGTAGATAAACTTTTGCCGAGAAAATTGAAAATGCTTTGCAAAAGCTTCGGTCGTGCAAATGAAGCTTTGATCATTAGCTTTGCGCCGCGCGAATGGTATGCCAATTTGATGGAGCAACCTAGAAATTGTTAAAAGCTTTTTTCGAATAAAAAAAAAGACAATGGATTTCACGATGACGATCAAAAATTAGATCGAAATTGCGCAAAATATGCAACCGATTAGTGTAAATTACTGGGAAAAATCAACACCGCAGTTATCGAATTGTGGATGTTCTGAATGGAATCAGTTAACGATTTGCCATTATGCAAGTGTTGTGGTGCGTCATATGGAATCGGCTTATTAGCGGGCGTTTAGGAATGTTGAACGTTGAACAGTGATTCATAAACTGGTCACAGTGGCAAGAATTTCCTTATCGATAATCACAATGATTGAAAGTAAGTAAAATTGATCATTGCACAATGACACGTCAGAAAGAGGAAAAAAAACCGCTGATGTATGATTGTGATTGAGAATATCGAAAAAGAATAATTCCGACGAAGGAAAAATCGACAGAAAAATCGTTTTGTTTGGCCAACAATGGTTCATTTGCAATGGGTGAACCAATTTTCAAGTCAAAACTTGATTGGAAAACCACTGATCAAAACCGATCAAATGAATTCTAAGCAAATATTTGCTTGGTGCCATTGTTGTTGTTTGCCAACATTTTCGACGGCAATTTCGCATGAATCAAGCGACCCAATTCAAATATAAATTCATCGTTTTTCATGTCGCAATTTGAGCAAAGCTCAGCGCAAAGTGTCTCTCTCATATTTAAAATTTCTCAACCAATTCGCTATTATTTTTTTTTTCGTTTGCTTCAATCTCTCAGCTGTGTTTCGATCGTCCCTTGTTCAATGGCTATTGCCAAAGCAACAATGCTGAACGATTTTACGCTTGACTCAACCGAAAAAATGAAAAATGAAAAAAGAAAAACATTCAAGAACGAACAAGACAAATGAGAAGCATAGACAACTGAAACGGTCACACAAAATGATCCATATCCGAGCAATCCATTGACTCATTGCACACTGACGGCTGAATCGTAGTCGGGGGCTACACACGCAAACAGCAAAACACACATTCGGAGCTGACGCATTCGGCTTAAGCGTTAGATCAATGTGTCAATGCGGATGCGTGTGTATGAGTGTGTATGTGGATTGCATATACACAAGTGTTATATGGTTGGCCCGTGCATGGGATTAGTCGCTCATCCAGAGTTAGCCTGATGTAACGTCACCGTCAGCGCGCACACGCTGCCGCTTTCGATGCGATTGCACGTGCGTTGGTGTGAGTGACCGATCGGCACAACACACTTCAAAAAAATAACAGATGTATTACAATATTTCCATACATTCGATCCGAATGGTCGCAACTAGTTAGCGCGCGCGCATATATACGACATTTTCCCTTGTGTTACTCATACTCGGTACCGAACGACAGCAGCTCTTTCTCTCTTTCTTACTCTCTCTCTCTCTTTCTCATTCTTCTTCTTCTTTGCTTTTTTCCCTTGTCGTCTTCGTTCGCTCTTGCGTTACAGCTCTTCGATCGACTGCTCAGCAGTCAGCGGAAAAAAAAACATACACAGTTTTGCACCGAAACTATTCACCATTCGAGATCCGTAAGTCGGCGAAGTCGGATTCAAAAACTGAGCATTACGCTGTTAAGCGTTTGTTGTGTGTTTTGTTTTTTAAATTTTATTTTTGAACCTGTGTGTTGTTTTTCGGTGCCCAAAAAAAAAATTGTTTTCAATGTGAGTAATCCTCGACTAAATAGAATCTTAGTTCAGCAAGTGTGATATGGATATGTGTGTGCATTTTGTGTGTCATTATTCTGGCGATTAATTTTGGCAATAAATCAATTAATTTTTTTTCTCGTACAAAAATTTCGCACGAAAGACGAAGAAAAAAAGATGAATATTGGACATGCGGTAAAACTAGTGCATATTCGTAATAACACATGCAATAAAAACGTTAAAAAATTTTGTTGGCATTTTTTCAAAAAAGCCAAATCGATAATTGCTTTAGCAACGTGCTCGTTCACTTTTGCTTCTTGCGTATTTGTCGTCAGAAAAAAAAAGCGTTTTTTTCCTAATTTCACGCGTAATTATTCCTTCGTGGTGCTCCCTTTTCTTGGTTGCTTGCAAATTTTCGCATTTTTCTGCGGTGCAAACACATCATTTCAATCTATTCGCGATTAACATTTTTTTTCTTCTGCCGAAGATCATTTCAATTTGCGAGGATGTATGGGGCGGCAAAATTTCGCCCAAAACTTGAGCTAAAAATAAAAATTAGCGAAAGTCCTTCAGCTTCAACGTATGAAATAAAGAAGAAGCAGCAGAAGGAAAAAATAAATAAGCAAAAGCGATGAGATATATTATACACAGTGAGACCTATCGCACCGAATGTATACTAGTGAAAATGAGCCGCATTGATAGTCTCCTCGTGGATGAAATCACAAGTAAACGTCTGAAAATGACATAAACATCGTTTCGCATATATGCGTTCAAAGCGAGAGAGAGAGAGAGAGAGAGAGAGAGAGAGACCGATTGGGATTTTGCTATTCAAATTAAATCATATAAAATATATCTCATTCTATTTATTGAGAGAGAAGAGAAAAACGACGGCGACGACGACAACAACGACGGTCAACAGTTTTCCCACACGTTGAATGTGGGACCGATAGTGTGTGTTTGCGTATGTGTTGTTGCTTCAAATATAATCGAGCCGAGAGAAAAAAGTGAGAGAGAAAAAACAAACGCCGAAACCGAACTGGCCGAAAAGAAAATCTGACGCAGTGAAATTCGACGATCGCGCCCATTACAAATAGATCGTTTTGAGTGCTGAGGATATAATATATATGCACGATACATGATTACGTGTGAAAATGTATCGAAAATTCGGCTGAAACTCAAAAAAATCCCTCCTCACTTGATCACATAACACCCATGACATGTACATGTTCTTTTATCGTTTTGATATCTTGTTGTCGGGGCAAATAATCCTCGACACTTTTGTTGATTCAACGTCGAGGTTTTTTCGAATCTCACGCTCTCGCTATTGCTGTCTCTGTCCTTCTCATTCTCACGCTCTCTCTCTCACTGCCTGCGGCTCTTCTTCGTTCGACAAAGTGGCTATTTTCAAACCAATGATCGTTTCTTTCATCGACCAAAATTGAATTGAAAATATGAGGAAAAAAGAGTATATTATTGTCGCGCCGATCCTTTTTAAATCTGGACGAAATGCGCTATTTTTGGATCATCACGCATATGCCGAATTGAAGAATCAGTGTCATCGCCGTAACATGCCAACGAAATATTTTTCAAGTTCCTTAATGGCAATGATAAATGGCAATGCAAAAAAAAGAACAACCGAATGGGGGCCACGATATCAATATGATACGGTGACATTTAATGTGCGCTGACTTAAATGTGATAGGTCGCTTTCAACTTTTTCCACGTGATTACGCCGCAAAATCGACCGAATCAATCGAAACGGCACACAAGCAGATGCAATTCCATATTTGCAATCCGATATATTCGGCCCGTTTAATCCTATTTCGGCACACAGAAAAAAAAATGTACGTGAATTTGCATAAAGAAATAGCTATCCGGAGGTGTTCGAACTGTATAACCCGACAAAAGCAACAAGAACGATACCAAAGAAAAGTCGTCATTTGAGCTTCGCGACAAAACAAGAAAACGATTTACATTTTTTAATGCACTTTTTTTCACTCTTCATCACATCAACATCATTTTTCAGCCTCTATTGGATTTTCCTTTTTCAAAAACAATGTCCTATTTTCTTTCTCTTCTTTTTTTTTTTTGAAATTTTAGCCTTTCGCGTGAGTGGGTGTTGTTTGTGTAATAAAAGCGTGTATATCTATTAAGTGGAAATTTTAATTGCGATACGAATAAAAAAAAAATTAAAAAAAAGAAACAAAAAAATCCAAAAGAAACTGATAAAAATTATCAAGAGTGCAAAAAGTAATTAAAAAAGAAGAGACGAAAAATACAAGCGTCCAAAACGAACGGGACGAGAGTAGACAACAAAAAGAGAGAGAGAGAGAGAGAGAGAGAGAGAGAGAGAGAGAGAGAGAGAGAGAGAGAACCAATTCAACGAATTTCCAAAGCAAAAACTTATTTGGAGCGACAGCGACCACGTCCGGAGCGGAGTGAGAGCGGAGAATTGTAAAGTCCAAAACAAATAAATAAACAGACAAGAGGACGAAACAGAACAGGAGGAGAAAAAAAAACCAAAGAAGAATACTCTCGAAGGTAAGTCAAATCGTAAGCGAATGGTAATTTTAAATAAAGTCTAAAAAATATCGTATTTTTTTATACACATATATATATATATATATTGAGAGTAACGAACGAAAAAAAAATCAAACGAAGAAGTTATTATGTGTGTATAAACGGAACACACGGCAAAGAAGTTAGGCATTATCACTGCATATATGCAAAAATATTCACGTACTCTACATCTTCGGCAAACAGGCACAAACACAGACATAGGCACACACACACACACACACACACACACACACACACACACACCGAGAGCAGGAGACAGAGACAGTGGCACAAAGGCACGACCAAATTTAAAATATGCACAATGCGAACTCGACCAAGCCAAACAAAAATATCTTGTGTCTGCTGTGCATTCATTTAAAGTTGACCCTAGGTGTCTTTTCTGTATATTTCTTCTCTCTTTTTTGTTCGTGTGCTGCTGTCGATGCCACTGCTGCTGCTGTTTACTCGGTGACTCGAGCTCAAGCGCACCTCTTATCTCATGTTATTACGTTATTTCTGTGTTTGGCTTAGTTGTGTTTTGATTTTGTCTTTTGTTGATGCCTTTTTTTATCAAAAGTGGTTTAATGCAGCCGAATTTTCATTCAGCCTTTAATCGGCTTCACCATCACCGCCGCCGCCGTCATCGTCTCTGCTCCTCCGCCGCCATATCACAATGTTCCTTTTTATTACACTTGCATTTTATTTGCAAATTATAAAATAACTGATCGCGATATCGCCTTATCGATGCGCTGAAAACGAGAATGTTTTCGCAAAACAGCACTATCCTTTGCATGTTACATTCTACATTTTGATGTGGATCACACGTTTGAAGAAAAACGGTTTATTATTTATCTTTTTATTTCCTTCGCTTGGATTCTTCTTTGCAACGGCTCTGATTTGTTTTTATAGCATTTGTGCATATAATATTATAATTCAGTTCGTTTTCTTTTTGGTCGTCTTATTTTCACTCGCTCTCCTTTTTTTCGTCAGTTTTCTTTTCGATTCCTGCTCTGTTTTACTCGCTCTCCATCGTATATTTTGTGCTACAATGTGCACATGACTTTTTCTCCATCCCGTTCTAATTTTCTGTTTTCGTATTGTTAACCGAAAAAAAACAAACCTGACCATTGGATCGCACATCGCAAAACGAAGACTAAAATGCAAACATAAAAATCAGCGCGCTATTTCTTGAATGTACGTCGGCGAAGCTCGAGATAATAAAAGCGCACAAGAAAGAGACGGAATGAGCAAAAAAAAAAAATAGAGAGTACAAAAACGTAAGAAAATAGACGAAAAAAAAGAAACCACGCAGCCGATTTGAATGCTTGCGAAAATGTATTTTGTGTCGATCACTTAATGTTTTAGTTTTGTACTAACTCTTTTCATTGCATTGTAAATTAAAGACACTGCAAGATTATAAAGACCGATGGAATACATGCCGAATGAAAAACACTGTGCACAATTTTTTTTTAGCGTTTGTTACTATTTTCTGTATGTGCATCGTTGTTCATTGTTTTTAGTTTTGAGCATGAGCGTTTGCGCGCGCTAGCTCACTCGCTCGCAATGCTTTATTTGCGTTCGGTTCCTGGCTACCTCGACATCCTCGATTTCTTTTCGGCAAATGTGCTTTGTTTGTTTGTGCACATCTTCTTTATCCGTTTTGCAACCGAGTCTCTCTCTCTCTCTGTGTGTGTGTGTCGAGCGGGATAGATAGAGAGAAAGACAGAGGCCTAGATGTATGTTTGCCTTTTAATTTAATTCGGTTTTTATTCTGGTGTTGTTTAGTTTTTGTGCGCGAAGTGAATGTGCGCACTCACACACCAGTCTCCCGCTCTCTGCTTCATTTCGCTTATTTTATTTATGATTTAAATCCGATGCAGAAAATGTATGTAAACAGGCTCGCACACATTTTATTTAAATAAAATTACGAATATATCCATGGCCATTGAATGAATGTTGATGTTTAAGTACATTTAGCATTGCTCTCTTCTCTGGTCGATTCTCAATCGATCCACACATACACAAACACACATGCGCGCGCGCACACAAAACTCGCAAATTAAGTAAAAATATTTATCGTTGCATTTATGTGGCTGTTCTACGCTCATTGTAGCTGTATATTGCCACCGTCGCGCCGTTGCCGTCATTGCTGCCGTCGCCATTGAGGTCTAAGCGTGGCGAGGTGTCGTCTTCATTCTATAAAACCAACAGACATTCAACAGCCGTTTTGCCTTTTTTTCAATTTCGCAAACACCAAAATCAATTCTCATTCAAACGTTTATTTTTAAATCGATTGCAATAACAACAACAACAACAGAAAAACGCTAAACCAATTACTACAACCGCGTGTGTCATTCGCATTTCAATCGACTCGATTCACAACGCGATTCGATTTTTATGGCGTGAGTGTAAATCAGGCTTTTCTGCACTAAAACGTACCAAGGTTCAATTGAGGCTCAGTGCGCTCGGCGCATAATTGCCTAACTCTCTATTAACAATAATTAAATGTGTCAACCGAAGAAATATTCACACGGCGAAGTGAAATGGAAACAAGCAATTTTCAGTGTCGATAATTTTTCTTTCTTCTTCTCATTTACAATGAAAAACATGGAACTGGAAAAAAGAGAAAACGTGAATCTGGAAGAGACTGCAACGATGACTACAGAAGAGTGCAGCAAAAAAAACGATCTTAAATAAATTAACCAATGATATACCGAATAAGCGAAGAGAGCAGCCGTTTTTTTTTCGCTTCAAGAAAGAAGAAAAAAAACGGCAGAAGACAAGAAAAAAAATAGTATGCACAACGCACTCTAAAGAAATTAAACTCCACCAACGACATACCATTGATGCAGTAACAAGCCAACCAGTAAAACATATCGCGTTTAAATGCCATAAACGTATATAACTCACTCGGCCGTACAATTCAAAATAAATTTTATGAACAAGCGCGCATAGATAGAGAGAGAAAAGGGGGAAGATAGAGAGAGAGAGAGAGAGAGAGAGAGCGAAAAAAGTCAAATGCAAACGAAGTGAAAGAAGTAAATCCGATTTTTATTGCAGTTTGGACAGTTTTGTTTCGCCGATGACATTCACCGCATACGCACAATGTGCTCAAATGCGATTGCACGCTTTTATCAAAATTTAATGCAAAACTTTCTGGCCAACCGAGCTGGGTTGGAACAACAGCGACGAAAAAAATGATAATCGGTAAAACGGACGCTAAAGATCATTTTAAAAAATAAATACCAATGGTTAAAAGCGATGCATGGTGGAGAGTTGTTAGGGAAAAGAGAGAGAGAGAGAGAGAGAGAGAGAGAGAGAGAGAGGAAGAGCGGAGACGAAGAGAATAAATGCACTCTGGGACACAACAACGGAGAATTGACTTCAAATTGGGATTCAATTTTAATTGATCAATTTCGCACTGTGACTCCCAATTAGCACATCACAGATAAATTCGTTGACTTTTGCACCGCACACTCACAAAAACCCCTCAACTCTGCGCAATCCAAACATCCGCCATTGGCATTTAGCATTTACCATTTAGCTGAATGGATGAAGCAATGGCCCATGCCGTAAGATAACCGACACATTGCACATTGAAATAATTTGAGCGGGGTGCGCGCGCGCGTGAGCGCTCACACACAAATCCTCAAGCGAAAAACACTGAAAATAAAGTGCTTTTGTGCGTGCGCGCACGTGCACGCATGCCTCGCCAAACGAAGAAAAGTGCAAGCAATTTCGATATTGCAACACACACACTCTCTCGCTATCTCTCTCTCTCCCTCTCTCTCTCTCGCTCTTTCGACCGACCGGCCGACCGTGTTTGTAATTACTGGTATTGAACCTGAACATTATGCTAGCATCATAAATACAACCAGAAAGTTGTAACACCTTTTTGTGTCAGCACATTGAGACCACCTTTTTATGCCATATATATCGTTTGTGCGTGCGTACGATTTCTTTTCTCGAGTTCATACTCGTTCGGTGATTGCAATTGTTGCTTCCACTTTGTTCGACCTTTTTTGTTGTTGTTCATTTCTTCTGTACGGTTGCTGTGTGTGTGTTTTTTTCTCTCTCTCTTTTCTTGCAAATGAATTTGATGCAATTGATATCGGGATTGTTTTTATTGACCAGTAAGCAAGCAGCCCATATCAACAAGCAGGCGCACAACACACACACACACACATCGTGCAACTGGTTGACAAGCTGCTTTAAGTAATAAAACACACATTCATAAATGGAATTGAAACGAAAGTGCGACGATTTCATTTTCAATGTGCAAATGCATTCAATGATTGCGTTTCATTAACGCAAAAACCATTGCGCGCTCGCTTTGCATGGGAGATCGATGTGATGGAACTGCCAAACCATTTAGCTGCTGCCATAAAAAAAAATTGCGAACAAAAAAATAAATACATAAATGAACAACAAGAGTTTCTTTCTTTTAATGGATGAATGTGAATGAGCGTGAGCGCGCGCTGGTCTTTATTCTGGACGATTGTTACTCAATACCGATGAAAAGACAACAACGACCGAACATATATCCAAGGATCATAGCTTAATTTACGATGCAATGACATCACTTGAGCATTTACTGTTTTCGATGAAAGATCTCGTTACCATAATTCCATGGGGCTGTTGCAACAGATCATTTCTTTCTTTTATTTCCCATTCGTTCGACTTCATCCGTTTGTGTGTCTGTGTTTTTTTTCTCGTATGTGCAAAAATCCATTTCGCATGCGATCATAAAAATGTTTAAATATTTTTTGTGTAATTCCTACCTTGGCAGAGGGGCAAAAAAAATGTGAAACCATTCGAAATTCCGCGAAATGACTTATCCAAGCACTTTTTATACGATTCACACACACACACACACACACACACACCGAAACATATCAAAATGCAGAATAAAAACGAAATAAAACCAAATGTGGACAGCGAATTTGAAGTGTAAACACATTTTTTACACTAAATCCGAATCG